TGCATGTGCTTTTTTCTGAAAAGCACAAGCGTACTTGGACTTAAGTGCAGAGGCCGCCTACCCTCGGCCTCTCTGCCCTCCAATCCCGTTTAGCCGCTACCTCCCGGTCACGACTCGCGATTGGCTGACGGGTCGGCGCGAGGTTACGACATGCGTGAAACGAATGGCCGCATCGAGCGGCGACGCGGACGCGCGGTCGATGACGGGTTTTGGTCTCGGCAGGAAACGGCGCAGCCGGCGCCCCGCGACGTGCTGACGGTGCAGAAAATCCTGGAGGACCTGGGCAAAGAAGACCTGAAGAAGTTTCAGTTTGTCTTGCGGGACAAGAGGAACGGCGAGGGCGAGCCGACGCCTTGGGGCAAGCTGGAGGGCCGCGACACGGTGGACACGGCCGAGGTCGTCGGTGAGCACCACGCGGACCGAGCGCTCCAAGTCACCGGCGAAGTTCTGCGGCAGATCAACCAGCACGACCTCGCCGGCAGGCTGGACCGCATCCGGGGTAAGAGAGCCGAGCGCCATTCAAAAAATATTTGGCCGAGAGTTGAGCGCCTGTGAGGCTTGTGACGGGACTCTTCTGGGCGTCGGCGTCTTCAACGGCCCAGAGGAGACCGTCGCCTTCCCCTTTGTCTCCAGTCGACGGAAGACAAATTCACCAAGCACAAAAATGTATGTACACGCCTACGTATAAAAGGCGTCCGAAATTTCTGGATTCCCCAAAACCAAATCGAAACGGTCAACGTTGCGGGGCTGCCGCCGCCTGCCTTTTGCGGAAATAAACAAGCGCGGCGGCGGATCGCGAAGGAGATTTCCTGAAATGCGAACGTTGTCGTTGACGTAGGCCAGACGGCGTGCTGTTCGGAGGAAGCGGAGCGCAAGCGAGAGCTGAACCAGGGGGAAAAACTGAAGGACCTGCTGACGGTGGGCGGCAACTCGCTGGACAGCGACGACCGCTTCGTGGTGGTGGTGAACAAGAGCAGCCCGGAGCAAATCCAGCACCTCCACTTCCTCAGCAAGCTGCCGCTCTTTTGCGTGCTGGACTTTGACCCCAACTCCAATGGGCCTCTGGGGCTGTGCCGCGCCTACAAGGAGACCCGCGTGGCCAACCTGCACTCGCCGTCGCAGTACCAGGGCCGCTGGGACTCGGTGGCGGGCAGCCTGAACCTCTTCGATCAGACCAGCTGGGTCTTCTGCAACGGCAGGCACGACATCCCGAGCGACGCCAACAAGGAGCTGGACTACCGCACCTGGTTTAAGAAGTCGTGCAAAGACGTGGAGCAACTGGTGGCGCTGGTCTGCGGCTGCGACTTTGTCCGTCGCAGCCAAGGTCGCGTCATTTTCCTCCTGCTGTCGCCGGTGGACACGGACAAGGACCCCTTTTTCGAGACCTACCGCTCCTTCCTCAAGCACACCGAAGAGCAGAACATCATGGCCATCTGCGAGTCGGCCGGCACGTACGGCAAGTGGAAGGAGCTCATCGCCGACAAGTTTGACTTTGACATCGACCCGCTGTCGGTGTACGAGCTGAGCTTGTCCCAGGTCAACGGGACGGTGGCGGCGTTGGGCCCGCACGGCCAGTCGCCGGCCAAGCTGCTGCCCTCGTCCGACTCCAGCGCCATCGTCCTCAGGCGGAAGGACGAGGACCTCATGACGGCCTTGGACGTTTTGTGCCTGAACCAGTGCGAAAACGTCTACGAGGACGAAAAGAGCCCGGAGTTCGCGGACTTCCGCACGCGCCAGGAGGAGGAGTTCTACCGAGGGGGCAAAGTCACCTGGTGGAACTTTTACTTCTGCGACAAGGACAGCAAGAAGACCTTTGTCAAGCGGGACAAGTACAGCAACGTGATGAGAATGATCCGCTCGCAGCAGAGGGAGAAGCGCAACGCGTGCGTGCAGCTCAACTTCTACCACCACCCGGGCTGCGGCGCCACCACCTTGGCCATGCACGTCATGTGGGACCTGCGCGGCGAGTTCCGATGCGCCGTGCTGAGGGACACCAAACTGCCCAAGGAGGAAATCGCCGACCAGATCATTCAGCTCATGAAGCTGGAGAGCGCAAGGCACTGCCCGGTCCTGCTGCTGGTGGACGACGCGAAGGAGCCGGACAATCCGCACGACCTGGTCAACTGCGTCCGCAAGGCGGTGGAGGACTTGGAGGGCGCCGGCGCGGAGGACGCGCCCAACTGCAAAGTGACGGTGCTCAACTGCGTGCGCTCGCACAGCCCCAAGAGTCAGTACAAGCATCAGAACTCCACGCAGTGTCAGTACCTCACCGCCTCGCTGACGCCGCACGAGCAGAGCGAGTTTGAAAAGAAGCTGGAAGAGCTGCAGGAGACCCACGAGAAGCCGGAAAACTTCTACACCTTCATGATCATGAAGATGAACTTTGACCCGAAGTACATCGACGACGTGGCCCACAACACGCTGAGCAGCTTCGACGCCGGCGCCGACGACGGCAAGCTCTTCTCCTTCCTGGCCCTTCTCAACAACTACGTGGCGGAATCGGGCGTGGCCCTGTCGCTGTGCGAAGACTTCTTCGGGGTGAAAATGACGCGCGACCCGGCGGGCTGCGTGCTGGACGAGATGAAGCTCTACACCAACGTCCTCATCGTGGACCGGGTGGAAGAGTGCGGCGGGTACAAGCGGCTGCGGATCCTGCACCACACCATCGCGGCGGCCTGCCTGGAGGTGCTGGAGAGGAGGCACTTCCTCAAGGTCGGCGACATCACCTTGCAGATGCTCCACTACGACCTGTTCTTCAGCGACGGCGTGGTCAAGGACCGGCTCGCGCACTCCATCAAGCGCATGCTGATCCGCCGGCAGCGCAAGAAAGACGGCGGCGAGCGGGAGCTCTTCTCGCCCCTCATCGACAAGATCCACCAGCAGCAGGGCGGCCGGACGGTGCAGGACATCTTCGTCAAGGCCTCCTCCAGGTTCCCGGACCGAGCCTCCGTCCCCCAGGCCCTGGCGCGCTACCTGTACATCAACGAGCGAGACTTTCCCGAGGCGCTGCGCTGGGCCGAGAAGGCCAAGAACATCGCGCCCAACCCGTACACCATCGACACCGTCGCGCAAGTGTACAAAAGCAACTTGCGCAGCAACATGGACCGGGAAAAACAAGAGCTGTCGCGCGACCCCGACGACCTGGACGCCAACCTCCGCTTGGCCGCCAACGGCATCCGGGCCTTCCAGCGGGCCCAGGAGCAGTCGGACGACAACGAGGACGATTCGCAAGCCGAGCACCCCGAGGACGAGTCGGGCGACTTCCCGCGCAAGGGCTACAACATTTACGGCCACGTGGGGGTCGTGGAGATGTCCTTCATCGTCTTTGAGGTCCTGGCCAAGCTTCCCTTCTTCCACGAGCGCGAGCCCATGAAGAAAAAGTACTTGCAGAGCTTCCTCGGCGGCTCCATCCCGATCGACAGCGTCCACAAGGACGACGACGAGGTCAACGCCAGGTACGTCCAGATCATCAAGGACCACCAGCCCTTCCTGCTCCAGCTCAAGCCCGAAGTCAAAAAGAAGTTTGACTTCCTCAACCGCTACTTCACCCACACCAAAGGGAACTTTGAGTTTGACACGGTCAACCACCGGACCGTCTGCGACCACTTCCAGAAGTACGTGGACCTCTTCTGCACGGCGCCGGAGGAGCTGCGCAAAGTCAAAGAGGACAACCCCAAGCTGAAATTGAAGCTGACCCTGGAGGAGCGCCGGGTGTACCTGGAGAAGCGCCAAGCCGACACCTTCTCGGGAGTTCTGCAGCACCTGGACCGGCCGGCCGACGAGGTGGAGAAAATCGTGGAGTCTTATGCCGTCCTGCAGCAGACGGTCAGGCAGAAGCAGAACATCCATGTGCGGATCAACTACATCCTGGCAAACGTGGTCCTCTACCTGCTGCGGCCCAAGTCCAAGCTGGTCAAGGGCTACCTGCAGCTCCGCGACCTCCTCCTGGAGGCCTTGCAGGCCGTCGGCCTCCACTACAACTTGCCCGACCCCTACTACCTGGCCCTCCTCTTCTTCTGGCCCACGCCCTCCGAGGAGAACTCGGAAATCCGAACCTACCTCAACGCCATTCGCTCTTCGTCCCGCAAGCATCTGTCCAAGTTGTTCCACAAGAGGAGCACCGTCGCCCACCTCTACCTGGGACGGGGGACCGAGCTCAAGCGACTGGTGTCCAAGCCCAGCCTGGATAGCAGCTTCCTTCCCAAGATGCCGCGCGACACGCTGGCCCAGCTCTGGTGGAACGGAGACATCTTCAAGGAGAAGGACATCAGCGACCGCCTGCTGCGAGTCGGCGGCACCATCGAGCAAGGGGAGGTCTTCGCCAACTACGGCGGGCTGAAGATTCCCGTGCATCCGGCTCGCCGCGGCGGCATCCGGAGCGGCTGCAGCACCGAGAAGGTTTCCTTCTACCTGGGCTTTGCCATCAACGGGCCGCTGGCCTACGACGTCCGGTATGAAAATTGATCCCGTCCTCGGGGGTCCGCCGACCTTGCCGTGATCCGCTGACGCGGCGCCGCTAGCTCGCGAGACCGCGGCGCGCTCGACCTCCCTACGAAAAGCCGCTTCGTCCCCCATCCGCGATGCGGCTTAAGGTCCGCGGTTGGATCCGCGGGTTCTTTGTCCGCCGCTCGTGGGATGAGCGGTTCGATGAGTAAGACGCAGCGGGGAGAGCGGAACAATGAATAACTTTCCAAATGTGCCGCTGAGTTAAGCTACCACTTGAAAAAGGGAACTGAGATCTGAGATGTCACGTTGAGCATTGAAGTGCTTGTATCTGAGTAGTGTTTTTTTTTTTTTTTTTTTTTCGGGGGGGGTCTGGAGCACCGGCCCGCCCATCAAACAATTTGTCATCCTTTCTGAAAATGTGTTTGCAAGTCAGTACTGCACGAGGGCAGATATCGATATCTGCCCGTGGATGGTCCGGCATGAAAATCTGTACTTTAAACGAGTCTCGTGTCATAAAAGGTGTGTCATAGTGTGTGTCATAAAAAGACAAAACATTTTGATAAAGGAATGCATTTTATTGATCAGACTCTTGATGCTGTGCGTGTCCTCATTTTCACGACTGACTTGTTGCCTACTTCAAGGTGCCTCATCTTAGCCCTGGCGCCCTCTAGTGACCGGCCGCCGCCGCCGCAGTGCGCGTCTGGGTGATGAAGCGCCGCCTTCGCAATTCAGTCCGGAGCCGAGCGGGCGTATCGGCTTTCGGCGAGAGCGGTCGCTTGTGAAAGGCGGCCCCAATCTGATGCTTCTGTGAAAATTGATGGCGGGGGCGCGGTCGGCCGTTTGCGTTTGGCCACGGGAACGCTTGCGAATTCGGTGCGGCCGGCGGCGGCGTCGTCATGGGCAGGAGATTCGGCAGCTGAAGAAATCCCATCGCGCGGCGAGTCAGAAAGCCACGGAGCATCGCCGTCGTCGGAGGAGCGGCCGCGAGCTTTGGAGCTTTAGGGAGGGCAAGGCGGCGCCTCGCAGATGAAGGCGTGCTGCGTGGCGGCGTCACAGCCGCCGGACGTCCATCGGGATGAGCTCTCCACCAGCAAGCACGCCGACGCCCACGACGGCGAGTCCGCCGCCGCCGCCGCCGCCGCGCTTGTAAGGCCTGACGCGAACGGACGACCAAAAACACACACAGCTTGACTTGGCTTGGAGTGCCCGCGTATTTGGGGCCACGTGCGGACTCTCAACTTGGAGTCGGTCACAAAAAAGTTCCTGACCAAATGACAATAGCGAGGGCCACACCCTTGTTGGAAACCCCGGCCCTGATTCGAAAGCAGACTTTGAAACCCTGGCCCCAACTTGCGAGCCAATTTGAGGAGTTTGCGTGCATGCATGCCGAGCTCCAAAAGGTCGCTTGCTGGCAGATCCAACTTTTGAAGTCCTTCTTACCTCGGCGGGTTGCCGCCATCTCGGACCGGCCGATCCAAAATGGTTTCTCGCCACCGAATCTCCAGAGCCAGCCCAGATGGCGTCTGGACCGCACGCTCGGCAGGCTGCTATTGGACCTGCCGATCATTGCCACAACCTGTCAAGCGTCGGCGCGCGCGTCACGAAGCGGACGCTAGCTTAGGTTAGCCGAGCTCCGCCCGCAGACTCACAGCAAGACGGAGCAGGAGCGCTCGGCGCTCGCCCAGCTGCTGACGGAGGAGCCGGCCAGGTAACAGCGCCCCCCGTGGCGAGTCCAGCCAACTTCACAGCGGCCAGTCGGCGACCTCCCCGTCTGAACAGGGCACACGACACAAAGACGCCAGCTAGCGGGCACAGGACCGGAGAACAAGTCCCCCGTTTTCCGCCAAAGGCCGCGCACGCTCTCACAGGTTGTCACGAAAAGTCACATTTTCGAATGACGCCGAGCAAATAAAAGTCACGGCTGGAGGGCGCTCGTACTTTGCGCTGGCGTGACTCAGCCTCCCGCTTCCTGCTTCCCGCGGGAGGGGCGTGTCCTGGGCCGTGCCTCTCGGTGGCGCCGCCTGCCTGCGGGGCCGCGACCTCCTCCAACCGCAGAGAAGTCAGACTGTGGAACTGATGGAGGACGGTCAGGTTCCGCTTGGGAATCTTCTTGTCCCCATTTTTATTTATTATGACTATTATTTCGATGATTTTTTTTTTTTTCCTATTCCGGTTCTGTTTTTCATCTTGATTGCGGTTCTGATTATTGTTTGGGACCTGAATTTGGTTCTCGTGTTCCTGAATCTCGGTTTTATTTTGACTGGTGTTCCGTTTCACTCCTGGTTCAGGGTCTAATTTTGGTTTTGATTGCGATTGTTGCCCTGTTATGATTCTGGGTCTTTTTCCGGGTTTGTAATTTCCCTCCAGTTGTGCGTCTTGTTCCGTTCTGGCTTTTCTTGGCTCTGGGATTTTCATTTAGATTCTATTCTGGTGCCGAATGGGGTTCTCTTTGCTCCGGGGTTCCAGGTTCAGCTTCTCCCTCGGCCGGCTTTCTTACCGTCCAGACTTTGTGGTCGGGCTTTGCTCCCGCCGACAGCACCTGTGCGCAGGGAAGACACTTGATTGCACCGTCCCGACTTTCCCGACGTGTGGATTTTTTCGACTGTGCGCTTCCCAAAAGTCCCCGTGGGAGGGAGCCATTCCCAAAGCAGCTCTACTTGCCTGGAGTCCAATCTTCCCGGCGACTTGCTCGTCTGTGTGTCCGGGATGCGCTCGGTCTCGCGGTTCTGCCGGGCCGTCGTCCTCGTCGTCCTCGCCCGCGAAGGGTCGGCGGTTCGGGACGTCGCCTCGGGGAGGGTGCGTACTCTCCCCGAAAAACTGCTCCGCCTCCGCATCAAGGACGGCGTCGTCCTCCGCCGTAGGGGGCGCGGCGACTGCCGGAGGAGGTGTGGCAACGGCCGACGGGGGAGGGGCCTCGGCCGTTTCCCCCTTGCTCAAATCGCAACGTCCTGATGGGTCGGAAGAGAGACGAGACCACAGGAATGTCAACATGACGCCGAAGTGCAGGAACAACATGCGCCTGTGCCCGATGGAACGTGTTGTCGTTCCTCCGCCTGTCCGCGAGGACCGTGTTCATCCTGCCTGGAAGCAAAACCTTCCGAGGAACCTGATCCTAGCGGGAACACGTTTGTCCTCACTGTAAGATGGAGCGGAACATGCCAATGTGGATAGTGATGGGCAGGACCGGAATAGGAATGAAGGTCGTATCTATGATGCCCAGAAACCTTTTCCTGCTCCTGATGGAACATGTTTTTGGTTTGTTTGTTTGCTTTTGATCCTGTTTCTGTCCATTCGGAAGAGGTTCATCCTCATCCTCAACCCGAAAACGATCCTGTCAACATGATCCTGTTCCTGTGCGCCAGGAACAGGTTTCTCCTCGAAACATTTTCCTGGTATTGTCCATCCGTAACAACAGCAAGTTTGTCTTGAACGCAACAGGAACAGTAACGTGACCTCCACACCGCGGACAGGAAAAAGACTGAGGCTCCAGGCAAGCATTTCAACCTTGGAGGAACACGTCGAGGCCTATGGACGCTACGTCACCTCCTCTGGGGTCGACGATCTCCACCCTGGCAGAGGTCCTTTGACCCAAGACGGCGTTCTTAGGGTCCTGCAGCACGACGGTGAAGTCTTCGTCATTCTCCTCCAGGCCGTCGGCTTCCGGGTAGATGCTCCACGTTTTCCGGTCGACTCCTGCAAAGAAATTGGCGGGCCCCGACGGGTTACCGACGGACCGCGGGCGATTCGCGGTCACTCTTTTTGTGACATTTCGTCTTCCCTGCGCTCCTAAACTGAATCGTGGCACCCCTCGGGTCTGAGAGATCGCCCCCCCCCACAAACGAGGGTGAAAACATGGCAAAGGGGCACGAACCGGTCACTGAAGACTTCGGCATGCGTCGCACCGTCAGCTCTCACCTGGGTCAAACTGTATCAGTCCGGCTGTGCTGTGCGTGAAGTCCCGACCCGCTTTGGCGGTGCCGTCCCGGACCTGCCGGGAGAGGCCGAACCGTCAAATCGCTTCCCGTGACCCCTTTGGTGTCTCTGCGTGCGCGCGGCGCAGCTCCCACCTGGATGGCCACGTACGCCGGGTCGGCGCTCTTCCCGCGCCGTTGGATGTGGACCTGGAGCGTTCCCGCCGTCTCGCAGGTCCGGAAGCAGCTGGCCGACAGCTCGATTCGGGACCAGGACAGATCCAACCTGGATCCAACACGGGAAAAAAAAGGGCTTTGAATTGACATCACTCGCAAATCATGTGGTGAATTGGCGTCTATTATTGGGTTATTTGTCAACAAATGACATCAGTTGACCACATTTGAAGCATGTGAACAAATTCTCCCCCCCCCCTTTTTTTTTTTTTCAGCATTTGAAACCAAATCCACATCCCAATTTGACTCGGATCAAGACCCCGATCCACACCAAATCCGATCCAGATGACATATTTTGAAATTCGGGGTCCTGGCGGCGTAGCGGCCAGCGTAGCGATGAACATATGGCACATAGCGGGACGTTACGTTTGTGGCGGGGCGGCGTTGCCCGCCGGGTCGCTGAGTCGGAACACGAAGCTGTCTTCCGTCACGTCGGCGTCGGCGGGCACCACGAAGACCAGTGAGCGGCGCTGCAGGTCTCGCTGCGTGAAACGGCCCCGGACGTAGGCTCCTGGAAGGCCACGTGGAAGGAAGCGGGTGAGAAAGGAAGTCGGCACTCGGCTTGAGCAAGTCTGAAGTCAAGTCGCGCGAACATCAGTTACGACAGAACATTGGCTGTTGCTCGGTCTTACGAACGCTCATGTCTTTTATTGACACTTTTTTATGGTCCGAAACCATTCCCCATCTTGTCTACGAATGTACGGTAGAACCGACATGAAGCTCGCCGGTGGTTCCACCCAACTATGGCTTCACTCAACTGTTTTTGTGGCTTTTATCATGCATGATGGATCGAGTTTGAAGCGGTAGGTTTTTGGGGCCTGGTGACCAAATGCGTCTCGTGACGGGCGACGAGCGTCGAAATCGCGGCGGCCGTCTTACCGGTACGGATGTTCTCCAGGTGGCCGAAGCGCGGCGGCGTGACGACGGCAAACTGGAGCCCATCGGGCGGACTGTGAGCGTCGACGGCCCGCAGGTGCTCGGACGTGATCGAGAGGGCCCGCCGACCGTCTCTCAGCCGGATCACCTCGCTGGGCCGCCCCAACGTGGTCAGGATGGGAGGCGAGCGGTCCGCGTGCTCCACCTCGGCGCAGGAACAGGAAGTCACATGAGGAGTTCGGGCGCAAGCCGGGCCGCCAGCCTGGCTTGATTCTGGAATACTCTGGCGGGTGATCAAGCCACCCATCCATCGATCCGGGAGTAACTCGGCTTACACCCCCCGCCCTGCCCGACAATTTTTATTTTTTTTTTTGCCTTGACTCACAAGCAAAAACGAGGGCCGCGAACGCTGCGCGGTGGCAGCAAATAGAGAAAAATTCCTCCAAAAGAGGCTTTGAGCCCTTCGTAGCCACTCCCAGCTGACGTTGAATCAAAAAGCAAACCAAAGAGCCAGGACCACTTTTGTCTTCACCACAGAGCATTCGACTCACCGATGCTAACGTCCGGCGGAAACTCCATCAGCTCACAATTTGCGCCGATTGAGGCAACTGAATTGTCAACGCAAGCAAATCCAGATAGACCGCAGAACAACACCCGCGGGCAAACGTCTCGTATTGGCTGTGAAGAGCGATATTAGTGCCGTACTGACCAGCCGCGAGGAGCTGCGACTCTCACTGAAGAGCGCACCCCGCTGTTTTTCCCATACTGCCCCGAGTGGCACAATCTGCACTGAAGCAGATGTGACCAAAACAATTTCGTTTTGTGATCACTGGACTGTTGTTAGAAAGTGTAGTCATGTGCTATTTTTCTCATTAAAAGAAAAAAAATAATAAAGGTGACCAATTTTCTTGCTATTTTTTCCCCCCTGAGGCCAGGTCAGACGGATGGATGGCCTTTGGCATTCATTTTCGTGGCAGATGCACTCAGCTGCCACCAGATGTCGCTATTTCACGCCTGAAATTTTCATTTTTTGTCTTTCGCGTCAGCTTTGAAGTCGAGTGGAGCGCAAGCGAAGGCGACGGCAGCTCACGTGTATGGCGAAGACGGCCGGCTCGGTCCTCAGCCGCCCGTCTCTCAAGTAGCCCCGGTTGCGGCCGTCCCCGGGCAGGAAGCGGAAGCTGTCGTTGAGGCGCCGGCCGGCGGGGTCGGCGTGCCGGTAAGCAAGGTGGCGCCCGTCCACGTCGGCCTGGGTGAAGACGACGGGCGCGGGGTCGGCGCGGAGCGGG